AGCTTTCGGCCGCCATTATTCTATCCAATCCCATTCATCGGTTGTATCAAAATTTAAATACTTCCAGGGCATTTCTACCCTCCTTCCCCTCGCTTTCCCCGCATCATCTGTCTATAACCCTCGACAACGGTCATCCTTGCTTCGGACAACTCCTGTTGCCTTTTCAATCCTCCTACCCCTTTTTTGATGCTAAGATCTGCTTTCCCCTTTGGCACCCTGGAAAATGTTGGTGGCGCAAGAACCACATCATGTAACCCAATCAAGCCTGCTCCAGATCTAGAAGCTGTCTCTGCATCGTTCTCTTCGAGTCGCTTGGCGGCGATATGTGCCCATGGGTCGTCGTCGTCGTCGTCATCAATGTCCCCACCCTGGTCGCCCCCTTTTCTTCTCTTCTTCCCGCCCTTCCTCTTTCCCTTAGTCGTACTTTTCACCAACCCGTCCTGACCCTCCTCGTCCACATCCTTATCTCCTTCTTCCTCCAGCTTCTCTTTCCTCCTACGATCCTCGTCCCTCCAATCCTGTTGCATCTTTTGCATCTTGCGCTCAGTCTTTGTCTGTCTCTCCCTCACGTCCTCTTTCGCTACGCCACCCCTTTTTGATAATCCCGAAAACGGCAGTGCAGCGTCTACACGGGCTGCGAAAGATGACAGGGTTTCGCGTGGCTGTATAGTTGGCACTTCTGCCGGCGCGGGCGCACGGATTGCAGTGCCAGGTTTGGATTCAAGTTTGGACTCTTTGCGGGCCTTCTTGGAGGGTTTCCTGCCATCATCGAGACCAGAGCGAGGAGGGCGGTAGTCGCCGAGGAGGCGGGTAAAGGCTCTAGGGGTGTCATCTTGCATCTGAGCATGTTTTCGTTTGGCAGACTTGGTGCCAGACTTTCCAATGGTGGTTGTAAGCTTCTTCACCGGCAGAGGATGGGCGGTCTTGGTTGGGGGAAGGTCGTAGAATGAAGCGTCACTTTTGGACTTATCTCTTTTGTGTTTGTGAGGCATGCTGACTTGGGGTGCAAATCATTGAATTCAATGCCCGTATCCTTCAATCACCCTGCCCACAGTGAGTCCACGTCCCCGGGTACATTACTTTAGATGGCCGATGTTGGTAGATCCGAGACACCTCGGCCGAGCTTCAAACTCAAGAGCGAGCGGACGTAGGAATGTGAGGTAGGTAAGATCTTACTTACATGCCACAATCCAGTAATTTACATGATTGGTATGATTGGTAAGTATGATTGATAGAGTTGCCAATAAAGGACAGCGTTTTTTGTGTCTTGGCTTGCAGTAATACTACAGTAAGGTATTTCGTGGAGATTTTGCAGATTTTGCGACAAAGATTAAGCCTATAATAATAATACAGTGAGTGCCTGGAAGCGTGGGGTCAAGGTACTTTACATGTACCTAAGGCCAGTAGGTACGGTACTGTAAGGTACTTTATGCAAGTGAGACCAAAGGATCCCTGCTAGTAAAAAGGGACCTCCCGCTTGCCAAGAGATCTGGCAGCAAAATACTTCCCCTCGTCCATCTCCGAAACTTGGACGCTTTTCCGAGTGAATAGTGAATACCCAGAATACTCCTAGAGTGCCTGCATGATGAGCTCAATAATCAGCATTCTCACTCAGCTACAATACTCTTCACTTGTACCTGTATGTTGCTTTGCATCAATTGTCAATGGAAAAAAAATGGATAATGAGACAAGCCGGAACTCAGTCGCTGTTTGATCATCATCATTTGGCGGACGAATTGAATTCAATTGCCGGCGCACGCTTTTGAAAAAATATCGGAACAATCAACACACTATTCCTGCAGCTGACCGAGATCAATCTGGCTCCAATTCATGAATGAGCATCCGCCTGTCTTCCTCACCAGTCCGGACTCCCTGACATAATTGCCTCACACCCTCTATCCAAAATCAGCGCAACTCGCAGCACGCCATCCTTCACACCTTTGTAACGCCACTTGCCCCTCCATTACTACCTGCCCAACTTCTTACCTACCTACCTACCAAGAAGCCCACCAAAACCAAAGCTTGAAGCAACAACAAATACATTCATTGCAATAAACCGTTCAAACCCATCTCGCTCCCTATCTCTATCACAGTCCTGGCGACATATTCCAAATCCAGAGGACGTCTAAGCGAAAAATCAAGGCATACGGTGCATTAGCCACCACAGAATACCACTATATTGATTTATCATGCGCAGGTCCGACGAGGAGACCGTCGGTCTCACGTCCCGGGATCTCTACATTGATGATGCTCCTTCGCAGAGTAGCTCCCAATTCTCAGCTTCAGAGCCCTTGTTAGAAGAGGAGAGTCGGTCCACCAATCCCACCCTACACAAGCCAAAGTGGAGGGCTTTCCTATCTTCACAGAACCCTCGCAGATCGCGGCGGAAACCCTCAAGACCTGGCAATGACATTGGGGAAAAGCCAACGTTGAACAAACAGAAAAGATCGAGGTTATGTTTAAACATAAGTCTTGGTATACTGGTGCTTCTGTACGGACTCGAAATGGCCCCGCGACGCTGCAGATGCTGACTTCCTTGATAGTGGAGTGATACAGCTCCTCAACCTAATCGGCAGCCTCGTCGTACTTATCCTTCCCGATAGTATACACCGCATTGTGGACTCGTGGGGCCGCCCAGGGCACATTGGGGCAGGCTTGTCGTCGTGGCCCACGGACTTTTCACGGGACATCATTCCCATGCCATGCCATTCGCACAATGACTATTGGCGGAGAGTGCCTCTGTTCTCCGCGATAGAAGTTGGTTGTATCGGCGTGGAGGCCGATATTTGGTTATTCGACGAGGAATTGTTCGTCGGACACTCCGTTGCAAGCCTGACGCCCAACCGTACGCTCGACAGCCTCTACATCAACCCGCTTCTCGACGTCTTGTCAAAGCAGAACCCAAGATTGACTATACTTCCAGACGACACCTCTCAGCCACATGGTGTTTTCGACACAGACCCTGAGCAGACTCTCATTCTTCTCATTGACTTCAAAACATCTGGATCAGCCCTTTGGCCTCACGTACAATCGGCACTTCAGCCACTACGAGAAAAGAACTATTTGACTCGGTCCAACGGCACTCAAATCACTCGGGGTCCCATCACAGTCGTTGGGACAGGTAACACGCCTTTTGATATGGTGAACTCGGAGGAAACCAATCCCCATCACGATGTGTTCTTCGATGCTCCTCTCAGTGAGATGTATGGAGGTACCACCAGCGGCGACTTATCAACTGCGACGAGTATAAATGAGGAACCGCCAAAGGATACCATGCAGGGAGAGCCACTCTCCGATGAGAATGAGAAATTGGCCGACACTACCAAAGTGTCATTAGAAAACGCCAGGAAAAGGCGATCAGATGAAGAGGGTCAAGGCAAGTCTAGGACTATTTCTGGCGATGCCAACGCCTACACCACTAGTAACTCCTACTATGCAAGTGTGTCATTTGGAGACGCAATCGGGCAATTGTGGGACGGCCAATTCTCGGACCACCAAATGGACTTGCTTCGAGGCCAGATCAAGGGTGCACACAGAAGAGGCTTAAAGGCGAGATACTGGGACCTCCCGTTCTGGCCGATCAGCCTGCGAAACCATGTTTGGGATGTGCTGGTGAAGGAAGGGGTGGACTTATTAAACGTCGACGACCTGAAAGGGGCAACGCGCAGGAATTGGAACCGACACCATGGTTGGTGGAAACGAATGAAAGGCGTCTCTAATGATGTGCATGGAGGTATTGAAGACTCTGTCGACAGTCCAGCTGTTTTACGTTTATGAAATTTGGTGAACTTGCGATACCAATGGCGTTGACCAGATGGAGGCATACCTACGGCGGACGACGGCTGACACTACGACAAAACCAAAAAAAAAATTTCTTTTTGTTTTTTTCTTCGCGATTTCTAGTTCTCAACTCTTCGAGAGGTACTTTTTGAGGTACTTTTTGAGGTACTTTTTGAGGTACTTTTTGAGGCACTCTTTTAGGGGCTACTCTCCGGGGTACTCTCCCGGGTACTCTCCGGGGTACTCTCCGGGGTACTCTCCGGGGTACTCTCTCGGGTACTCTCCGGGGTATTCTTCCGGGTACTCTTCCGGGTATTCTTCCGGGTACTCTTCGAGGTACTTTCTAAGGTAGTCTTCCGGGTAGTCTTCCGGGTACTCTTCCGGGTACTTACGACGGATAATAACTAACACTACGATCAAATATTTTATAAAGTTCTTCGCAAAAAAAAAAAAAAAAAAAACTTTCCGCGGAACTTGAATTTTTTTTTTTTTTTTTTTTTGCGAAGAACTTTATAAAATATTCATCCGTCGTAAATACCCGGGAGAATACTCGAAAGAGTACTTGGAAGAGTACCCGGAAGAATACCCCGGAGAGTACCCCGGAGAGTACCCCGGAGAGTATCCTCTAAAGAGTGCCTTAAAAAGTACCTTTCGAAGAGTTAAGAATATTCTTAGTAGAATATTTTGAAGAGAGTTACTAGAAATCGCGAAGAAAAAAACGAAAAGAGAATTTTCTTTTGGTTTTGTCGTAGTGTCAGCCGTCGTCCGCCGTAATACCAGGGGCGGGGTCTCAATTACGTATGTTGATATTGTGATACCACAACGATTCGAGATATGGGACAATGTTCGAATATAGGAAATCTTTATTCCAATGTCTGTCCTCCCATTGTAATAGTCCCACAACCGACTAACTGGCCTAAGGCCTTCCCTGTTATACTTCACTTCCCGGCCGAGCCGGCCATTATCCAGAGCGAATCGCTAGCGCCGGCCTTAAACTAATCTCCGTGGGAACCAGCCCCCCCCAAAACTCCGACCGCTGAACACTCATCTTTTGGGCTAAGATACTTTACACCACAACTGGCCGCCCAACCAAAGCACCTACTTACCATATCTGACCAAACATGAAGACCGACGTTCGAATCTCGCTATCGCCATTCATGGCTTAATCTTTTTACTACCCAAGGACCCTTTTAAGGGAGGGTCACAATGTCTCTCAAATTATGGCAAAAGGTTTGAACGGTCTGATCCGTCATCTGGTCGACCAGATTGCTCTTTGTGGCGAACATGGTGAGTCATTTCTCATCTTTTCTCCGTCGTCAGCGTTCGAGCGTTCGAGCGTTCGAGCTACCCATACCTTGCATGTTCCCACATTTTCTTTGCATTTTCTCGCCATTGCACCATATTACCAGACGAGAATCCAACCCTCTTTTTGCGGGGGGAAATTTTTGTGTGGTTTCAAAACTCGTCAACCAGAACTCGGGCTGTTTCTGCAAGCTTGTGGCGGTTGAATCACCCATCCAGTAGCTAAAGAGAGAATTTACTTTCACAATTAAACCAATTCTAGCCATCATCTTACATGATGGGTTACACGTTTGCTAATAGTGATCAGGAGCGTTACCTCTAGATTTCATTGCCCATGTCGAAGGCTATTACGCTAATCCAATCGAAGACAGTCAGGTTCAAGACTTAGACGATACTGTTCCTCATCCTGGCATTGCTTCCAACGTTGACAGGCCTTTTCTCGAGCAAGTCTGGAAATGGCTTATCAAAAATCCCGACATCCGGTTAGGAAGCCATGCCGGGCACAAGAAGCTAACGCTCTCCGAAGTGGAAGCACGCAATGATGCCATCGAGCAATCTGAGCAGTCGGCCCTCGTCTCTCAGGAAACTAACCTTCCCGACGCTGCTTTCTCCTCACACGTATCTAACGCTTCAGCAATACGAGACGGCGATACTACTCAGACAGCCGAAACAAAAGATGTTGCGGTTCCCCAACAGTCGAAATTCGATCCCGGGATCCGACTCTACGCGAGCGAGAATTGCATGTGGCACGCCTTAGCTGGACATGGCCCCGACTTCAGCAAAATTAAGTCTCTCGACTTCGTCTGCCTTTCTATAATAGCAGCGTGTGGACCCAAGGGTATCTTGCAACATGATCTCGTCAGAATCAGTGGCCAGGATAAGCGTTCTCTCCCAGCCCGAACTGACCGCCTACATGATGGTGGGTATGTCGAGAAAAAGCGTCTGTCTGTTCAATTGGTCAACCCAAAGAGGATACTTCATACGAGCCAATGCATTCTGAAGCGCTTCGTCAACAGTGATTTGGATCAGAAAAAGCAGACAAGCGATCCAGGCCCCTCATCAGCAGGAAAAGGGAAGCGCGTGAACAAAAAGGGTCAGCGAGACCAAGATAGACAGGCACCAGGAGAATCATCTTCAACAGTCGCCCCTGAAAGCGTGGCAGGAGATATCGCTTTTTCAGGTAGTCGGACAGTCCCTTCATGGACAGCTGATCGATCCATCAACAACCAAATTTTTGAGCTTGTCGATCGGGCTGGCATCAAAGGCATGAGTATGACTGTGCGTAGACGCTTTTCTCTCCCGTAGCTAGTGAGACAAATTCGCTAATTTCATAAACAGGAGATTAGGCATAATCTGATGGGCGACCATGTCAGAAAACCTCTGGACGACTACGTCTCGCGGGTGGCGGATTCCTGGCAAGTATCACAGCCCCTACATCTTCGTCACTTATCTATCGTGCGAGACACCGTTCTCAAGGGCAAGACTCAAATCTACATCTACTACACATATGAAAATTTCAACAAGCTTGTTGATGGCGGTACAGGCTTCTGGGAAGCAGTAAAAACCGTCGCCAGCGATGTGACGATAGGCAAGAACGTCGCTGCTGCATTAGACGCTAAACCTGACGTGGATGAGTATGGTTTCCCGAGACTCGAAGAAAACCAGTTTCAAGGGCGCCAGAATGATGCTACTCTTGAAGAATGTGTCTCAGCACTCAAAGTCGACCCTCTGCACATCTCTGCTACTGACCCTGTCTTCAGCAAGAAGGCTGATGGCAGTCATGGTAAGCAATATAGTCATAGACCGTGTTATGTTTTCATTAAATGTGGACTAGGTATCCGATACAAAAGCCACCAGCGACACCCTGTTACTATTGGTAATGGATCTACTCCCAAGAAAGCGGCGTCCACGCCTTCTCAGGCTGCGCCAATCAAAGCACGAGCAATGAAACCCCAAAAGGTAGCGCTGTCAACGACGTCCGATACTGTATCAACCAAGAAACAGGCGACTGAGCCCGAAAGGGTAGCGGTGTCCAAGCTCCCTGGTGTGGTACCAGCCAAGGGACAAGCAACTGGATTCCAGACTCCAAGGCGTAAGCCTGTCAGAGAATCGAATTCAAAGCCATTGGGCCGGCCGCGCAAGTATCCCAAGACCGGCATCCCGGCCAACTTTGATACCATGACCTCAGACGAAGTCGACTACTTATTTCACTCGCAAGCAATGTTCGAGAAGTACGAGATCGTCAAGGTTGAAAAGGAAATCCTTCGGCGCATTGAAGATGGAGAAGACGCTATGGTAGCCGCCTATGAAGTGCTGGCGGAGAGGGATGACTCACGCAAGCAAGAGGGAGAATTGCCACTTCCAAAGTCTTCAAGAGCCCGAGTACTTCACAACTTTGCTGGGGAGCCAATGCCAGAACCAGACCCAGACGAAGCAAAACCCAAGGGTAGACATTGGAAGGACACTCGATACCGGCCTTCGATGGCTGCCCATACTCATTTTGTCCCAGCATGGCGGAAGCATGCCCACCTAGAGCCAAAAGGTAAAGATCGAGAAGAAGGACCTCCAATCCTTCCAACTCGGACACGGGGACGTGGGCAGCGCGTGTCGAACCAGGAATCTATGGTTTATCTCCCGTCCGTAGCTGCACATTCTTGGCCGTATGTTCGCCCACCCTCCTTAGCAATGGAGATTTCGACCGCACACACTTTGCAGAATAATGTCAAGCGTAAGCAAGCCCGACCCGCAAAACCAAAGCGACTATTGGACCCTCATTTCAAATTTCTGCCCTCAATCGCTGCCCACTCAGGCTCGTTTCTGCCACCAGATATGTCGTCCACAGCTAAAGCAGGACAAAAGCGGAAACGAACAGCGAACGTCCCATTGGAGAACGGCGAGGAACATACAATGCCTCTTCAGTACAAATATTTGCCCTCGATTGCTGCCCACTCGGGCTCTTTTCTGCCACAAGATGAGCTACACATATTCAGAGCAGGACAGAAGCGGAAACGTACTGCGCACATGTTATCACAACACGACGAGCACCTTCCAACACCAATTACCTCTTCAGCAGTGGCACAAAAACTCGTTACTGTGCCCGCACGAGAAGCATCGCTGGGAACATCAAACATGCAGCTCAATGCCCGTAATGAAGGGATGTACCCCGGCTGGGAGAAGTTCATGTCAAAACACTACCAACACCAATTGGAAGCCATCACAAGATCCAATGCCGGTGTCTTTATCGGTAAGACGACTCCTCGGAGGAAGAGGCCTTGTGAACCTCGAGACTTTCGGCCTATGCATTTCAAGCTTGCTGTCTTCAAATCCACAAGGTTGAGCAAATTGGACTGGTACGTGAAGCCAACCACAGCCTCTGAGCAGATGTTTTGCCTAGGAAGCAGAACGCAGACGCCGACATCACGGGTTGCAGAGCCAGCCCCTATACCATATACCCAACCTGAAGGCCAGCCAGATCTATCAAGGTCGACATTCTTGCCATCGCCTGTCTCTTCTCACCCCGCCACTCAGCCAATCCTGTACGCTGATACTGCTGGAACGAAGAGAAAGCGCACAGCATCTCCGCAGCCTACTCGTGGCGCAGCTCCATTTGATCCTTTCTCTGCAAGTCCGTATAGTAGACACTCGTCACCGACTATGGAATCTTCTAAACCCATCAGCAAACCGAGCACACCTCTAGAAATGGCAGCACCGTCGCCAAGCGTTGACCAAGTATACGGAAAATCACCCATCGAAAATGAAGCGCGTAGTCGTACGCCAGAAAGGCAACCAGATATGAAAGAGTCGAGCGATTTGAGTTCAAGTGGTTCTGTACTTGACGACTCTAAAACCACGCAGAGCGAAGTTGCCACAATTCAGGCCGTACAATCATCTCAGTCTTCTACCCTGGAAGCCAGCAAGCCTTCGAATAAGCAGTCAATCAATAAGGTAAGCAGGCAAGGAGGTTCCACCGCAATGTTACGGAAAAATATCATAATGGACATCGTAAACAAATGCGAAGGTGTCTTCCCTAGTCATAAAGAGATGAGTTCGCCTTTCGCCAGTGAATGGAAACGGAGAGGGCAAGAAGGAACGCCAGAGGCAAAAACTATAAGCAATGCTGTCAATGCATTGATCAAAGAGAACAAACTTCGACAGATCACCTTCGCCTCTCAGACCAGACAGGGAGTTACTGTCACCAAGAGTATGCTCGTCTTGCCAACTATTGACACTACCGACCCCAAAGTCAAAGAGACCCAGACAAACATGGTGGCTTACCACCCCAGATACTTTGTTCCCATGGCTGTCTTGCCACCACAAGGTTTTTCGAGTATAAAAATTCCCGAAAACAAGACTGACAGCGAAGAAACTTCAGACAAGATGACTGAGGAACCAGTACAAGACTCGTCTGCACCGGAGTCTGCGGGACTGCGCCGACTGGACCTCGCCAAGAAGATGATGGATGGGAAAGAGAGAGTTGCCGTAGCTAGGCTGAAAGCATTGAAAGAACAAGATCAGCAGGAGCTTGGACACGCTGATGGTGACGAGCCTATTACCGAACCCTTTATCCAGCGAGCCACCACAAACACGGCTCACGCCGCACCCGGTCTTGGTAGAAAGGTCCTGCCAAAACCTACTGCAAACCGCTCAAGCAGAAGGAGAGGCCAAAAGCGTGTCGAGCGTCTGGCCAGCATCAAGAAACCTGTACGACCACAGGTAAATTCTTTGCCAACTATACCCGTCAACCCAGCCAGCAATCCATTTTCATTGATATGGTTGCCATCAAACTATGCTTTCTCAGACTTCAACTTTGAGGAACAAAGACCCACGGTCCTGATGGCAGCGGCCGAAAATGATGTGCAAATCGGCACACCAGAAGCCCCAATACCTCTCGATCTTAGCGAACACGCCAGACAACGCATGCGAAAGATGGCAGAAAATGCTGCCCGAATTGAACGCAAGCAAGCGCTGGCTAACTCGACCAGGTCTTCCTTGCTGTACACCGATTCCAATCCTGGTCTATTCGAATCTTCACATGCACCAATTCGTCCAACCTTTCCTCCACGGCAGGCTCCAACATCCAGAAGTGCTGCTTTGATTACTGCTGGACCAAGAAATCAACCTTTCCCGTACACTCCACCATACGCTGGGGAGGCCAATTTCAATAGGACTGTGCGGCCAGGAGATGATCTAGGATTGAAACAAATTGGTCTAGAGGAGATGAGAGAAGTGCCTCCGACTTCGAGTACTACGCGGCGTGGGAGTCTAAGCACAACAGCATCTCCGTCACCCGAATTGCCCTTATCTCGTGTCTCTGGGTGGCCAGTAGCTGCTCATGCGGAAGGTTCTGCAACCTCGTATCAGGAGAGGGTTCTACTCGTCAGCTTCATGGATCCCGCCCACTACTTCTACCGCGCCACTGGCACATTTTCGGTAACCTTCTCTGGGCTTCGACCTCCTCGGAAGATCTTTGCGTATCGCGGTACGGCTTTAGACCCGTATGCTGCAAGCCTCAAAACCGTACACCCACATAGCTCACATCGTAGGAGTACCCGGCCGCTATCGCTGCAGGACTCGCAAAAAATAGAAAAGACGCCGTTCGACGAAGAAGTAGATCGTTTGTTGAGGCGGGAGCTTGAAGCAAATGAGGTAAACAACGTTGTCCTCGTGGGCTGGCCATTTGTGAACCATGTGTTTTCACATACTCATAAAACTGTCGAAGTGGTCAAGGCTGATATGGAAGCTGCAAAGCAAGTCACCGTCCGCCTCAAGGATGGCCACCTCATGTCCAGGCCGTTCCCCAGGAACAGTGGCTTCAGACCCAGGATAGTACACAGCATATTCAGCACCGGTAGTAGAGGCATTGATCCCGCGGCAGCTGAAACTCGGACACCGCTCAAGCGCCGCCGCTTAACATCTTTAGCGGAAATTGGGACTCCAGACCAGGCCTCCAAACAAGTGGAATTGGATCAAGAACACCGACCCACTAAGCTACGTAGGGTACGTGGGCCGCGTCAAGCGAAGTCTCTCGGCGAGAATGGCGAAGAACGCCTACTCACTGCCGTTATGGTTATCCGGGCGCTGACAGGAGGGCTTGACAAACGCATTGACTGGGTACTGGTCGCTAAAGTTTTCGAGCCAACATACACTCAAATGTTTGTTCACAGCCGGTGGAGTCTCACGCTGCAAAAGTATAAGCTTTTTTTGCCCAAGATGGAGTCAGACTTCCAGAGCATCTTTGCAAGCGCATACGAGGAGGGTATAGTGCCCGCCATTGACTATGACAATTTGGAAGACTACGACTGGAAGTGGCTTGTCGAATGGACAATGGCCAACGTAAACACACCTACCCAGTCGTTACCGGAACTTCCAGTGGAGCGATCTGAGTTTGATGGTTTATACACGCTGAACGAGAGATACCACAACGAGATCAATGAATATTACGAGATCGACGGCTCTTCCGTCTTAGCCAGAAGAACAAAGATTGTGCATAGAGACCCCTATGTCTTGCCTCTAATTCGAGAACGACAAGGTGCTCGACCAGAAGATGCAGAAGATTTCATAACCGCAAAATCCTGGATCCGTGCCAACATCATGACGCCCGAGTCCACCTACAATCCTTCTGTGGCCCGTGCCAAGCTCTCGACGTTCCCGGATCGCACTGTCGAGGATGCACTCAAACAGCTACTCTTTGATCGTGTCCTCGCTCAAGAAAACAAAGGCCGCCTTATTCCCGGCCGCAACTACGACATTAGCGATTTTCTCGTCTCCCGTTTCAAGAAGAATCTGCAATCTGCTCATTTCCACCAAGCGGCAACTTACAAGCAGCAACTCGATCATGACTTTGGGGAGAAAGGGTTTGCCAATTACTCACACGCCGCTGACGACGGCGACATGATCGTTATTGTCAACCTCCTCGCGCATCAACGCATCACAATCGTGCCAATTGATGTACCGATGAATAAGTGGGGCCAGACTGATGGTGGCTATGAGACTCGGCAGATGGATAAACGGCGGTTGAATTTCAGTCTCGAGCTCCGGCCTTCGCCTGCCTACATCTATGGGAACCCGCTGCCTCCTCTTCCGACGCCACCGTCTCAGCACCTGCAAGATCCGATGGCAAAGATCCCACTGTGGTACGATATTCATGGCTCGCTCGTGCCCGTGATGTGGGAGATGGCTCTTGCGGCAGTCGTGGCTGTGCTGGTAGTAAGACCTGGTGTTGGGGCTTCGGAGTTAGAGAAAGTGATGAGACCGGCTATGGATATTTGGGAGCTGCAAGAGATCCTTGAATGGCTGGTCAATGCAAAAGCCGCGAAACGAGTCGGCCAAGGGTTCAGTGTCGAGGATGAGTGGTGGTGGTTGGCTTTGGGGACTGGTGGGAACAGTGAGGAGCGGTCAGGTGAAGATGTGGGAGACGAAAAGGGAGGCGAGAAAGGAGATGGAAAGGAAAATGGAAAAGAGAGAGAAGGGGAGAATGTCCAAGACGTGATCACGATGGAACTTGACGGAACGATTGAGAATGTTTTATGCTAAGTCAGAGCACGATGCATGCATTTGGCATCATCTACGCATGGCTAAAGTCTAGATGCTGCATCCGCGTTCATTTGGAAGTGGAGGGTTTTTATTTCAGGTTGATACCCCTTTTAGATCGAAGCTGGCAACAGACATGACATTGGCGAGATGCTAAACGATAGACGTATCACATAGAATGTACAAAGGATTTACTTTTTGATTTTTTTTTTGAATCTACCGTCCCCATGGAAGAAATGTGTACGTCAAGAACAGAATTGTTTACTTAGGAGTGTGCCTCCGGGGTTTTCGAAGCTAGGGCGGGAAGCGCTAAAGCGCAATGGATTCATAATTCTCACCTTCCAATGTTCCTTCAACATCTGATAGCAGAGGTACAACACTACCATCTGCGGTAGTCCAACAACTGCTTCGCACCGATAATTTAGGGTCACCATAGGGAAATTGACTCAAAAAGTAAGCACGGAATGACAACCACCATTGTCTTGGGCGCCCAGTCTCCACGTTGATATTGACGGCCTCAAGAAAGGCGGTAGACGGGATGACGAAAGTGAAGAAAGATGATCGGGAACAACGAAAAACGGTGGTCGCCAAAGGGAGTACAAACGTGGCAGTGGCTCAGGATGTGACAAGGATCGGGCCATGCTACTCAGATGCAATCGCCAGAAGAGGTGTCCCCTGGTGGACGCTCCTTCGCGGAGAAAAATGAGAATGGCGTCGGCGAATGGGAGTGGAGGCTGGAAAGCTCGAAAGAAGTTACAAAGTGCTGTTCTCCGGTGATTAAGGCGAGTCTAATGTCGACGAAGAGATCGAAAGATCTAGGGTTTTCGATCTAGGTAAAGAGTAAACCATGATGGGAGACAGTGCAGATTCCACTCTGTTCTACCAACCAGTCTTTACTTCAAGAACTCTAGTAGCGTGGTAGTAAACAAAGGCAGGTACCTACCTTGATGACCATGTCCTCAAGGCACTAGAACCTTAATCCCAAGCTTCTTGAACGTGCATCCACCAATCTCATACCATCATTCAACAAAACTCTACGAGTAGCCTCACCATTTGCTGTAGAGTAGTACACGATGACAGTAGGCGTGGCTATTATAGGAGGTGGTACGTGATGCGACAGGTCTCCTTGGAGCGCTGATATTAACTCGTTCCTCGCGATATGGCATAGGCATCTTCGCTAGGGAAGAACACCTTGTCAGCATGCAGAGTTCATCTTCTCCTTCTAGTCTGATCCTTGACAGCCGGCCGTCCGGGCATCGAAAGACTTGACCTTAAAGGCGGTGTACTCGAGGTCCTTGGAAAGCGCGCAAAGCCTTGCCGTCGACGGCGACATTCAACTCTACTCTGACGACTCAGGCTCTGGTAGAGGCTGCGCTGACCTCTTGAAACGATCTGATGTCCAGGCCGTCATCATAGCGTTTGACACCCTTCACAGCTGAACTTTTCCGTATTGACTCGCCAATCAGTCTTCCCATTCCCAAGCAGGCCGAATACATTCGTCTCGCATTATCCGCTAGCAAGCATGTTTTGTCGGAAAAGCCCATAGCAGAGAACGTCAAAGACGCTCAGGAGTTAATCAGTTGGTACTATGCCAACATTGACAGCAAGAAGGTGACGTGGAGCGTTGCGGAGAACTTTCGTTACCTCGCCAGCTTCGAGTATGCGCGAGAGCAGGTGCAAAAGGCCGGGCGACTTCTCGGGTTCAGGGCAAAGAGGTATTCCATGGTCAAGGGGGGGAAATATTTTGGTATGGGTGTGTGCCGTTGTATCTGTGGTTTACTGCTAAGACCATTCCAAGAAACCGAATGGCGTAAAAATCCCACCCATCAAGGGGGCTTTCTCCTCGATGGGGGTGTACATGTCACGGCAGGCCTACGGCTCTTACTGGGGCCTGAGAACACCATCACCCGTCTATCGGCGTTTTCAGCTCAATTACAGAAACATCTGCCTCCGGTGGACACCATTGATGCCGCCATGAAAACAAAGTCCGGCGCCACTGGTACCTTTTCTGTCTCATTCGGCACATCCTTCACGGGGTATGAATTCAATATAGCTTGCGAAGGTGGTACTGTCAGTCTTTCCGTCTTCGGGTCTACTGTAACTACAGTCGTCGAGGGTAAGGAAGAGAAGAGTGTAGTCGACGATGAAAGGACAGGCGTCCCGCCTGAGGTGAGGAAGTGGGGAGAAGCGCTGGCGGCGGGGCAACGTAATGAGAAGCAGAGACCGGAAGAGGCTTTGGCAGATCTGGAGCTGGTGAGTGGTACTAGCAATTCGCGGTAAGGAAGGGGCTGATATCTGCACAGTTGGAAAATATGCTCAGAAGCGATGGCGAACCCTTGGATTGTATATTGCAGATATGAAATTGATGATGATAGCAGCACCAACAGCTCAGTAGAAGGATCGAGCACAAGTCGTGGAAGGGGGGGAACTCGGATTGCCTTAGTCTCAACGGGGTGCACTGCCAGAAACAGTGATATCTGTAACGGAATGGGTCTTGAACAATCGTGGTCTTGAGTCGGACCAGTTGTTTTTTCTGCGTCGAATAATCTTTATTCGATGTCTGTTTGGCATCCACAAAGTGTGTAAAGATGGAAGTATGGAAACTCTTGGGGTTCTGTTTCTTGTACAGCTTGCCTTACTGTAGGACTATGATGGTTTCAATCTCCACCTCAGTGCCGCCTAGAGTTTCCCAATTTTTCGCCCGCCTGCCTATCTGTTCTCGATGCATGATTATTGTTCGATCCTCCTCCTTGTGCTTCAATCCCTGATCAACCTCAATATAGCCATCGCCATCACAGGTTTCACCACACGAACGTCCCACCTCTCGCCCCCCAACCCAATTTCATCTCGCATGATCCGCTTCAGCTCATCCGGCTCCTGAATCGCCATGTCTTTGGCTCGGACCCACATAGGATGCTCTGTGTCATGCAAATGGAGGTAGGTGGATTTGACCTCTTGTGTAGCAATGCCTGGAGCGATTTTGTGGAGTTGATTCAGCAATGAGGCGACTTGCCATGTCTCGGGGCTCACGAAGATGTAGTAGAGGCTGAGGCGGAAGAGAAGGTTGTTGGAGAGGTCCATGCGGGGTTTGTAGACCGGAGATTCTGTCATGACAGGTCGAGGCGTCCGAGGTTGGGAGATGCGGGTTGTAGTCTTGCAGGAGTTGCAACGTAGAGTTGAGGAGAGAAGATGAAGTTTATACCAGTGAACTTGTATAGGGAATGAGCTAATGACATATCCAAGGCCTCATAGACTGCTATGATGCTAATCATTAACACTTGACCTACTCTCCGAGCAGTCTCATAATGTGTACGGTGGCTGACGGCGTTCCGACTGTGCTCCTTGAATACAGGCGGCTCATTGGCCGCCTTGGGAATAACACAAGATGCCATCGCCACAAGGTCTGAGCCCAGCCGAGTGGACCATCAGGCACCATTATGGACGGAGATAGCGACTCACGAACATGCACGATCTGTAGCTCCCACATCTTGGAGTCTTTCACTCTTTGAAACGTCGAGCCCTTTAGGGACTCGTTCACCCAGGTTTGGTGCATTCGCCTCGCATAAGCAGCGGTCTAGGCCTGAAGACTGCGTAGTTGACTGTCATAAACTCTGAGGTTTTTGGGATTGATCCGTGCAGAAACGGAGAGATGAATGCTTGGTATGGGGAAGCTGTAATTGTCAGCGTCTCCCCTCCCTAGACCGAGTGGCTCCGGTTGGGCTCCTCTTTCCCTCCTTGGGCAAAATCGAAGGGTGTTCTACCTAAAGCCCACTGACCCTGATCAATCTGCTCCCCTATGAAACGGCCTGAGTATGCACTTTTCCGGTACTTATGACGGGAATGATACCAGCCCTCGGCAATGGCTATCGAAAGCAACTTTTCCGTAGAGTCACTGCACAGAGAGGCTCTCTTTGAGGATAAAGAGAGGGAGGTGGACAAGGTAAGATGCCTTATTCGGTTTCTTTTGTCTGACCAGGCAAAAGTGTCACTCGTAATCTTCGATACCAATGTCATGCATTATTTGCTCCTGAAACTCCAACCCAGTAGAAGATGATACCACCTAGCCGCAACCTGGTATAATGCAACTCCTTGCCTCGCAGACCCCGACTTTCTCAAAGCAAAATTTTCTTGATAATCATGACCGCTAAGGCAGCTACAAGCCCGGTAATAGCTTTATCAACCCATGCTGGGACACCATCCGACTGGGTTTGCTGGGTGGCGGTAGGCAACGGTGGGGGCACGTGAGAAGTCAAGGCAACGGGCACTGTCCTCGTTGGGTGGATAGCCTCGGGTGGTGACAAAGTCGGAGGTGATGGTGAGGCTGCCGAAGCACTGGCCGGCGATGGATCTGGAGCAGGCGTAGTAACAACCCGCATACCTTTGTCCTTCGCCATATCTTTACCCTCCGCAGCTGCCATCTGATCCCTGAAGCCAAATTTCAGCTCTTCAGGCACGACATGCTCGTTGGCGCTCCCTTCCCCAGCCTCAGCGCCCTCTTCCTTCAATATATCCTCGTTACTCCTTCCCCCACATCCTTGACACTTCCAAGTCTTACTCTCACCTGCCAGTCTCCTTCTCTCCTTCTCAGGCATCTCCATCCCTCCCACTTGACCCTTGGCATCTCCCTCCATAAATGCTCTCAAGGCCCATAATGCTGTCCTAATGCCCCACGCAGGCTGCCACGTCTCTTCATGATGTCCGCTGATACTTAGACAGATCTCGCGGTTCACTTCGAATCTGCCTGAGGGCGTTAGGAAGCGGAAGGACGGTGGGCGCAATGGGTAGGTCGGAGGCAATATTATGCGGCCGTGGTATGCACCCTCGCTGTAAGGAGTGGACGGCGGACCTTGGAGAGTGAAGTGCCATTCGAAGAGATTGGATTCGAGAGGAGCGGCGTGTAAAGTTGGGTCAGGATGACTAGAGAGTTCGGTTGCTTCTTTCAGGATGCGCTTTATGGTGGGCGATTTGGTGTTGAAAGTCGGAAGGGCCATGGTTAAGGTTAATAAAACTCGCCCAAAGCCTTTTCGGGTAGGTAGGTAGGTGGGTAGATAAGTAGGTAGATAGGTAGATAGGTAGATAGATCAATAAGAGGGAATTCTGTGGTCGGAGGGCAAATGCATTGTGTTAATTGTTAACGTGGCATTCATGTCTGTAACACGCACCAGACGGGTCAAGTCAAGCCAACATGAACGCTAGGAAACCCTACTCGTCTACGAAGCAAGAGAACTACAAGTCACATTCATGTCACTCTTGATTTTCGTCATGAATTTTCATGCCTTTAGCTTTAACCTCATCTATTGATGTTCTATGCTCAACCTCTGTCTTCACAGATTTGCGTTAATACGAGCAATACCTATGGTCAGGAATGTCTCGTCATGAAAGACAGCTCTTCATCGATGATAGCCGTAACTGCCTGGCTAGGCTCTGCCTTGTCGTATTCAAGCCGCATTGCCTTCTGCTGATCGTCATAGAGAAACACTCGTTGCTCCTCCAACATATCGTTGACAAACCTGCTCACATGCCAAGAGGTAGCTTTCGAGAAGTCAATCATCTGCTGTGCTTGCTCTTGCATCTCTTCAGGAGTGCCACTCATGTTTCTCAGTCCGCAGCGTAGCTCTGCCTCTCGGACGTCAACAGCTATCTCGACCACCGCAGCGGAAGTGACGAATCCTTTGATCAATGCAAGTTGCCGAGCTTGCTGGTCGGATTTCTCACGCCTTAGGCGCTGAATCTCTTCCCTCAGGCATAAAATAGTCTCCTCAGACTGTTGATTGACGGCGTCAGTTCCCCGCTCCGGCGGCCATTGTCCTAGTGCGGGACCAGTAGTTGTGGTCTCCTGCCATTGACGCTTGCGAGTGAGTGGCTCATTGGTTGTAACACCGACAACCGTCCGTGGAAAGGCAAAATTTGCGCTGAAATTGGGCGGCTTTCGGAGGTCGTCCTTCTTAGATCTGAGCCGTGTTGAGACGGAGTTGTTGTCGGACTGTGAAACTTGTGGTCCTGCGAGAACCGCCGAAGGTCCAGGCTGATAATTTGCCACCTGTGCAGGTTTGGCTTGCTCATCCAAGATTTTACTGGTGGCATTCAGCCCATTCGGCGTCGATAAAATAGGGACTGACTCTACAGGCATCGATCAGTTGTCGCAAGAGATTCCCGCAGGAAATGCTCACCTATGCCTCGGAAAGAACATGATAGTCCCTGTGAGCTGTAATGACAGTTGCAGCACGATTTGGCGAAAATACCCCTAACAACAACACATTCCACAAACGGCCCTTTATCGTTTGCACAGCGTCGACATGCTGCAAGTGCAAGCTCCCCACAGATCTGTCCCAAAGCCGCTTCTTGATTTTTCTTGGGCTTGAAGTTCAGATCAACGCGGCGGTGACGTAGAGTAAGCTCACGGACACAGGCAAGCTTCTTGAGAGCTTTCGTGGACGTGTCAATGCAAGGCCATCTTACAAGCTGACTTGTCCAATCAGCCGATGGATGATTTCCCGTAGCCTGCTGGCTATCGCTTGCTTGATCCATTCGAAAATGGACTTTCAATCGTCGAGCCTCTTAACAGCAATTCTTTCCGGGTGTGAGCGACCTTGTGAGCCCTGGATAGATTGCCTTCCAACCAATGGCCTGGTACAGTGCAGCAGGATAGTTGCGTCGAGTAAGCGTTGCGGCAGGAAGCCGAGTAATTAGATCTTCGTGTGGCGAGATTGGAGATCGGAGGTTGATATGTATGGTCAAGTCAATCAACAACCTGCCGACGTGGATATAGACTAGAATTCATTAGTGCTTGACACAGATGACAGGAGTTGACTACTCTGTTGTGAATGCTGTGTTGTCGATGTTGTGTGATTCTGGGTCCTGTGTTACTGAAATGTGCCATATATATGCAAGTATATTTTTATCTTCATTCACCGACTGGCTTATATTCACGGTCTGCTTTGTGTTCACCGTTTGGTTTGTTTATCATCTGGCTCATTTGCCATTTTCAACCTGTATTCACTATCTGACTTGTATTTGCTTTTGACGTTCATTTAGCTCTCACTTCTTTGCCGTACCTCTACTCACCATGTTATTTATACTCGCTTTTGGCGTCCATTCAAGTCAGGCTTGAGTCTACTAGCAGGGTTATGTTTGGCGGTTTGGCATTCATCTGTTGGCCTTGTATCAATCGGCTGGCTTCAAATCCAGCAATTGAAGTTGTAATCGCTCTTGAATTGCAATCACCTCTGGCGAGATGCCCAAAAAAGTGATAGTCGAAGTGGAACAGATTTTCGATATATCGACGGGATCAGTATCAACGAGGAGTTTTCTCGGTTTTGAAGGCTGGATTTTCTAGGTAAGATCCCCTCCCGAGCCTTGTAGAGTGTTCTGATATGTCGGACCCTTGAACTGGGCCGTCTTGGAACTTTGATCATCTCTTGGACCTGTATCAAGCCTTGGAACTGCATTCATCCATTGGACGTGTGGTCACCCTGAGACTTGCGTTCACGCTTAGACATGTATTGCCGTGTGAAGTAAATGTTAAGTTCGCATCACAGTTTAGACCGCACATCTACTAGAAGTTTTTCTAAACCCCTCCTAATATCTTCCGACATTCCACTAGCAGCAGGCCTGTTTGTTTCCCTTTCAACAAAAACGTGGGTGTATCCACCTACAGCCCTCACATCGTCCTTCCCGCGCTCGAAGACTCCAACTTCATATGTGACACTTGACTTTCCCAGCTTGTTGACACGCAAGCCCAGATCCACGATTGAGGGGAATCCCACTGACCCGAAATAGTCGGAAGTTGAATGGACAACGAGACCAATCTGGGGGGACGTAGGAGGACGAAGGCCACAATGCTCAATCAGGTAGGAATTGATGATGGAGTCGAATAGAAAGGAATACACGCTATTGTTCATATGATCATACATGTCATTGTCCGACCATCGTGTTCTGTACTCGAGATGGAAACCGTAATCTTCCTGATGTCGTTGTTTCAGCTGAGCAGAAGACATCGTAGACCGTTTCTCCTTTGCTGGGACTTACTCCTTATCGCTATTGAGAGTCTGGCTTTAGCATTTGAATCCCTCGAATCAAGAGCTGAAGTGAGGACCCTTGGGAGTTTCAAAACACTACACCCGAAGTTTAGCCGCCCGCAAATCTAGAAGAATATTTTGTTAGTCTCTGACAAGAAAGTCCGTCACTTATACAAAAGCTCTACTGGCTCCCTCACCCCGTATCGCCGCGTACCTGGCACGCAAGAGCCATGCGATGTCCGCCATGGCGCTGACCGCCGTGGACCCACAGGCAGATCAAGGAGATGGCCGACAGAAAGATAAGCAAGCTTTCATTGCTTCACCAGACGTTATCACGACCCCTTGTGATCCTTGGCCGCGTCCATACTATCTTGAAGATGGCCTTCGTAAGGTACATCCGTATCACTATACATACAACACCTACTGCAAGGAGAGATGGCGTGGAAGAGAATTGCTTGATGTCTTTGCTACCGAATTTCGAGATAGGCCACAGGCTTACTATGTGTGAAGTCCTTAACCTCGCCACAAGGACAATTCGCTGACGGGTCTCAGAAAGACGCTATAGAGCGGGGCAATGTCGTCGTGAATGGAGTCCGAGTACCGACTGTCAAAGCCACCGTCAAGAACGGCGACATAATATCCCATACGCTACATCGACACGAACCTCCTGTGACCGCTCAGCCCATTGGTATTGTTCATGAAGACGACGGTATGATCGTCATCAACAAGCCTGCGGGCGTACCAGTCCATCCTGCCGGTCGCTACAACTTCAACTCTATCATCGAAATCATGCGCGCGGAGAGGAGCCATGCATGGAATCCTTTGCCCTGCAACAGACTCGACAGACTGACTAGTGGCGTCATGTTCATCGGTAAGAACGCTAGAGCCGCTGAAAGGTTAAGTATGCAGATCCAAGGCAGGAGCGTGAAGAAAGAATACGTGGCCAGGGTCATTGGAGATTTTCCTGAGGGAGATATCGTATGCGAGCAGCCAGTCATGCAAATCAGTCCAAAACTTGGGCTCAATAGGGCCAGAGCGAGTGGCAAGGAAGCAAGAACCGTGTTCAAGCGCTTGGCTTACTACCCACCAGCACAAAAGTTCGAGGACGGCAAAGGGAAACAAGAAGACAATAGATCCGAGAAAGAGAAGATTCGAGACTCGAAGATGGAATGGAAAGGCAAAGAAGGTCATTCAATTGTGCGTTGTCGTCCTGTCACTGGTCGCACGCATCAGCTTCGGGTACACCTACAATTTCTTGGCCATCCTATCTCCAACGATCCTATTTATTGCAATCAAAGAGTGTTTGGCCCTTCTCTTGCGGCTGGCGACGCTCTTTCAGACAACGACGAAGACATCATCTCACGTCTCTCGAGGATGGGCAAATCAGAAGTTGCAGAGGCAATGGCCTATCACGATGAAATGATGGACGAGTACAACAAGACGAAAGCCGAGAAGATGACCGGTCACCTCTGTGACATATGTGATACGCCGTTGTACAGTGATCCTGGTGCGCATGAGCTGGGGATATACTTGCATGCCAGGAGATACGCGTGCGAAGAAGGGAAGTGGGACTACGAGACTCCGCTGCCGGACTGGGCTCTGCCACCGCCAGGAATGGCTGGACCGACAGAGGTGACCAAGGAGACCGACCCATTGCATATTGTAAAGGGTCTGGAAACGTTAGAAGTCAGCAAGGATGCTGGCGGAAAGGGAAAAGTGCTCGAGCAGTCTGGCGCAGAAGCGGGCAAATTACTTTGGACACATCCAGGCTAAGCAAAGAATTGCGAACGCCATCATGCGATTTTCCACACTGCAAAGTGAGAGGGTTGAAATATACACGCACTCATGATAATAGCGCCACTATTTTACGAAGTTCCGAGCCCGCTCCTTCCCAGGCGATCCGGACAATGGACATGATCACACCTGCTCCTAGCCTCCCATTCTAGACCGCCAATCCTTCGGTGAAGTTTCGGCTGAGTTCCCGCGGAACATCAACTCTACGATTGATCGTAGTATAAAACCCGTGTCGTATCCTGTTGTTCAAACATGTTGCACTGTGGTCTTAGTCACTCTCCTATCGCAACAGAAAGCTGTGCATGCTTCCGTTAATTCTTGTTCCATCGAGACTTGCTAGTCGCTCATCTTAGAAGCAGCAGCAGCCATGGACGCTCTCATCCATGCGATCAACACCACTTCAATAATTGACCACCATGCGCATAATCTGCTCCTGAGTTCTGACGTAGACGACCATGACTTCATGGCGGCCACCGTACGTTATACCTCCCAAGGCAATTCTTCTCCATTCTTGCTGCCTTATGAGTCGTCAGACATGTCGAAAGAGTTCTCTGCTCCTAAGACATGTCTTGCGACTCTCAAATCCTCCCGAAAGAGTAATGCTGACTCCGAAATCGTCAAGTCTGAAGCGACTGGACCCGCTCTCAAGTTTGCCTCTTCGACTCTTTCGCATCTCCGTGCTCTCAAACAACTTTCCGAAGTCCTCAAGTGTGAACCAAACTGGGAGACCGTTAAGGGCGCACTCAGGATGAAGAGGAAAGAACCTGGTAACGCCTGGGCCCGAAAGTGCTTTCAAGGAATCGAAACGGTACTCATGGATGACGGCCTGGACCCATCAAGCGTTTTCCCATACGACTGGCATGATCAATTGACACGATCTAGATGCAAAAGAATTGTTAGAATTGAGAAGGTTGCAGAGAATATCATGACCGATCAGCTTGAACAATATCGTGGACGGGCCCCTAGAAAACATATCGAAATTCGGGAACAAATCATGAGTCGTTTCACTGCTGCTATCGAGGAAGCGATTTCTGACCCTGAGGTTGCTGGCTTCAAATCTGTTATTTGCTACAGAGTAGGTCTCAAGATCCCAGCATTCGATGACAGTGCGAGCGTTGTTCCCCTCTCGGTTGAGGATCTGGAAAGGTTCTCGCGCCGTTTGGAGGACGAAAGATTGAACCCTGACCTTGTTCATCTGACGGCGAAAGTAATAGAGCGCAGCGGATCAAAGAAACCCTTTCAATTCCACACCGGAGTACGTATGAAATCCCGTGCTAGGTCCCATGAACTCGGTATTGATCCATCATGTTCTAGCTCGGAGACAATGAGTACGACCACATAAGACAATGTTTCGAGGAGTCACTCCTTCACTAATCTTTTTGGTAGTATCGATCTTGGATTGTCTAATCCCAGTCACCTCCAACCCTTCATCGAAAGTTACCCGGAAGTCCGCATCGTTCTTCTCCATGCTTCTTATCCGTTCACAAGAGAGGCGGGCTACCTCGCAAGCGTCTATAAAAACTGCTGGCTTGACATTGGAGAAGTCTTCCCCATGGTCAGTCAGTACGGGCAAGAGAAGGTCATCGAACAGGCTTTGGAACTTTGTCCGTCCGAGAAATTGACGTGGAGCACTGGTCAGTTTTCCTACCATTCTGATTTCCAATCAGTAGAGAAGCTCATAGTTGACGCTGTTTGCCGCGAAGACGGTCACTGGTT